CCGAGGATTCCGCCACCGAGGAGGCGACCATCAAGCCGCCCGCCGCCGAGGTGTCCGCTGCCGCGGAGGCAGTCGCCGAGGCGCCCGTCGCCGAGGAGGTCGTCGCCGAGGAGGCTGAGCCGGCCAAGACCGTTTCCAACACGCCCGACCCAGCGGCGAGCGCGCCGCAGCATTCTCTCCTGGCACTCCTCGCTCTCCCACCGGTAATAATCTCCCTTCCCGTGTGCCCCTATCGCGCTTGCAGGACACCACCTACTACCCGGGCCTGCCCACGCCGATGGCGGCGGGGAAGAGCGGGCCCGCGTCGGCCCGCAGCGGCTCCGGACCGGGCTACGTGGACGGCGTCGAGGCTGCAGTCCGCCGGCTGGGCGAGAGCGTCAGCTACCAGGCTACGCCCGCCGACGGCAAGAAGTCGCCGTCGCCGGGAGTCCCCACCTCCGGCGGCATTGCGCCCGTGGCGCCCAAGCCCCTTGGCGCGGTCGCGGGCGCGGGGCTGGCTGAGGCCGAGGCCGCCAAGGAGCGCGAGCACTGGGAGGGGCGGCTCAAGAAGGCGAAGGCCGCGCTCGATCTCATTGCCGAGCAACGGGAGAAGTGGGCGGACTTGCAGTCGCGGCGCTCGGGGAAGTGCCGGCGCAAGGCCATGCGCTGCCGCAACAACCCCAAGTTTGGCAAGGCAAAGGGCAGGCGCAAGTCTGGCAAGGCAAAGGGCCGCGGCCGCCGCCCGAACTGGCGCCGCGAGCCGCAGACCACGTCCGGCAAGGCGCCATTCGCCGCTGGCACGTGCGGCGCCGGCGCTGGCACGTGCGGCGCCGGCGCTGGCACGTGCGGCGCCGGCGCTGGCACATGCGGCGCCGGCGGTCGCGCCGCCCTCAAAGCGGCGGCCAACTGCGTGCAGGGCGGCTACACGAAGGCCGAGGGCGCCTTCCGGTGGCTGCTCCTCGTCTGCATGCCCGCCTTTGGCCACTGCGCGGCCGCCGTGCCTAGCCCGACGGCGGTGGCCTCGGCCTTCTCGTCTGCCGTCGCCTCGGCGTCCTCGGCCTTCTCATCCGGCGTCGCCTCGGCTGCGTCCTCGGCCTTCTCGCCCGCCGTCGCCTCGAAGGCGTCCTCGCTCGTGAGCTGCTCGCCGCTTCTCATGCCCGCCCTCGTGCTCATCCTCCTCGCCATCGCCTGCGGCGCCTCCTGGCCGACCGCGGCGAGCGGAAAGGGGGCGACGTGCTGTGCAGAATACTTCAACATGTCAGGACTGCGCTCTGGCCTTTGTCTACTACTGCTGCCTTGCTTGGTTGCTGCTAACGGTTGCGTTTCCAGTCCGACGCCAACGGCGCCTTCAAGCTTCGAGCACAGATGGTGGAAGGGGGGAACAGGCAGCACCGGCTCTTTTACCGACGTGAAAATCGCGGACCACGATCCGTGTGATCCATGTGTAGCAACCAAGAATGCTAAGAGTTGCCCATCAGCCATGTCATATCCACGATTTGCTTCGAGGGCTGCTCGAAACCACTCTCTCTTCAGCATTTTCCGGCAGCACTACAAGTATCAACAGTAACAAAACAGTAACAGCATGGGTTGGGGTGAACACTTGAACAACGTTGAGGATTTCAGCCAACAATAGCGCAACTGTTAGGCCCCAAATTAACGTTAGGCAACCCTAAGGAAGAGTCCCCTGAACGCGTATGCACGTTTTGTGAAGAAGATGTCCCGTGATCCCCGAGTGAGGGCGCTACCGCCACAGGCGCGCTTCAAGGCGATCGCCCGTCTCTATCGCGCGGGCGGACGTTAGTTGTCCCCGCGAGGTGGTGAGCGAAGCAGCAACACGTTTTGCAATGTTAGTTTGTGCGTTGGTCACCTAGTGCAATCGCTTTCAACTCCTGCACATGCCATCGACGGACCAGTACGGCTTTGTGTGGTCTCAACCGGGTAGCAAGCGCGCGTGTTGGCACTGGCAGCACTGGCGCTGGCGGTGTCATGTGGCCCTGGCGTCTCGCAAGGACTCTGACGTGTAGAGGAGAGAGCACGTTGCGGAGAGAGCACGATTGGGAGGGCGCAGACGTGAGGCCCGCCCCATGCGAGAGGCGCAGCGGAGGGTGGGCAGTGGTGTGTTCGTCGGCGGTGGCTGCGGCGAGGGTGGCGCCGCTGGTGGCCCGCTGCACAGGGCTTCGGTGGTGGTGGAGCGCTGTGGTGTGTGTGTGGGCGCGCGCGTGTGGGCGAGGCGCTGAATGAGAGAGCAGCCGCGCGAGCAGGCGCACTTGAGGGAGCTGAAACGCGAACGAGCGGGGGCCGGGTGTGGAATGGACGGGGGGTTGAAAGGCGATCGCCTGTGCCCGGGGGCAAAGATGCCAGTCAGGCCGACGATGGTCATCGAGTTGAAGACGGCGGCGCGGCGACGATGTCGCCGACGCCGTCGTCCGACTCGGTCACGAGCGGGGCGAATCACCGTGAAGAACTCGGGCGCCGACGACCCGACCGCCATGAAGGGTGCGCCGGCGACGTCCTCGGGCACCTCTTGAGCACCTCGACCACCTCATCGATCGCCTCGGCGTAGAAGTCGTCGCAGACGATGGCGATGCCGACGAAGAAGTAGAACCTGCGCGTACGGCCCGCCGCCCTTCATGAGAGCTGAGAGCCCGTCCTCGATGCGGGGACGAGCCCGAAGAGCGCCGCGTAGGGCTTCTCGCGCACACATGGCCGGGTCGAACGCCGCGTCGACTGGAGCGGCGATGACGGCGGTCGGGTCGATGTCGAGGACGGGCCGAGACGTGACAGTGACCGCGCGAACGCCCTGTGCCGCCGGGGAGCCGGTGCGTCATTGAAGTGCTTGAATGGGAGGCACCCACGGGGCGGTAACGCAGCGGCGCACCGCACTCTCGTCCGCGATGTCCGTGTAGCACTCGGTGGTCGCCTGCGACAAGCCGCCGCGGTGCGGTTGTAGGCCTTCGAGCAGGTACGCGCAGACGGTACGCCGACCTCGTACTGCGAGGGAAGCGGCAGCGACCGAGGAGGCGATGGTAAAGTGGGCTGCCGGCATGCCGGAGATGGCGACGCGGGCCTGCGCGCGAACGAAAAGGGCTGTGGAGGCAGGCGGGAAGGGAGGCGGGCGGAGGGGGGAAGACGATCTGGAGGGGGGGAAGGGGGTTGTTGGTGGGAGGTAGGGACGAGGGCGCTGCGGCCGGCACCTTCTCCGGACACGGCCCGCCGCCCTTCATGAGAGCTGAGAGCCCGTCCTCGATGCGGGGACGAGCCCGAAGAGCGCCGCGTAGGGCTTCTCGCGCACACATGGCCGGGTCGAACGCCGCGTCGACCGGAGCGGCGATGACGGCGGTCGGGTCGATGTCGAGGACGGGCCGAGACGTGACAGTGACAGCGCGAACGCCCTGTGCCGCCGGGGAGCCGGTGCGTCATTCAAGTGCTTGAATGGGAGGCACCCACGGGGCGGTAACGCAGCGGCGCACCGCACTCTCGTCCGCGATGTCCGTGTAGCACTCGGTGGTCGCCTGCGACAAGCCGCCGCGGTGCGGTTGTAGGCCTTCGAGCAGGTACGCGCACACGGTACGCCGACCTCGTACTGCGAGGGAAGCGGCAGCGACCGAGGAGGCGATGGTAAAGTGGGCTGCCGGCATGCCGGAGATGGCGACGCGGGCCTGCGCGCGAACGAAAAGGGCTGTGGAGGCAGGCGGGAAGGGAGGCGGGCGGAGGGGAGGGGACGATCTGGAGGGGGCAAAGGGGGGAAAGTGGGGAGGGAGGTGCGAGGGCCCCGCGGCCGGCACCTTCTCCGGACACGGCCCGCCGCCCTTCATGAGAGCTGAGAGCCCGTCCTCGATGCGGGGACGAGCCCGAAGAGCGCCGCGTAGGGCTTCTCGCGCACACATGGCCGGGTCGAACGCCGCGTCGACCGGAGCGGCGATGACGGCGGTCGGGTCGATGTCGAGGACGGGCCGAGACGTGACAGTGACCGCGCGAACGCCCTGTGCCGCCGGGGAGCCGGTGCGTCATTCAAGTGCTTGAATGGGAGGCACCCACGGGGCGGTAACGCAGCGGCGCACCGCACTCTCGTCCGCGATGTCCGTGTAGCACTCGGTGGTCGCCTGCGACAAGCCGCCGCGGTGCGGTTGTAGGCCTTCGAGCAGGTACGCGCAGACGGTACGCCGACCTCGTACTGCGAGGGAAGCGGCAGCGACCGAGGAGGCGACGGTGAAGTGGGCTGCCGGCATGCCGGAGATGGCGACGCGGGCCTGCGCGAGGGCGAGGAGAAGGGTGGAGGCAGGCGGGAAGGCGGGCGGGCGGAGCGGGGGGGACGATCTGGAGGGGGGAAAGGGGGGGGGGAGGGAGGGAGCGGCGAGGGCGCTGCGGCCGGCACCTTCTCCGGACACGGCCCGCCGCCCTTCATGAGAGCTGAGAGCCCGTCCTCGATGCGGGGACGAGCCCGAAGAGCGCCGCGTAGGGCTTCTTGCGCACACATGGCCGGGTCGAACGCCGCGTCGACCGGAGCGGCGATGACGGCGGTCGGGTCGATGTCGAGGACGGGCCGAGACGTGACAGTGACAGCGCGAACGCCCTGTGCCGCCGGGGAGCCGGTGCGTCATTGAAGTGCTTGAATGGGAGGCACCCACGGGGCGGTAACGCAGCGGCGCACCGCACTCTCGTCCGCGATGTCCGTGTAGCACTCGGTGGTCGCCTGCGACAAGCCGCCGCGGTGCGGTTGTAGGCCTTCGAGCAGGTACGCGCAGACGGTACGCTGCAGGCGAGCCTCTGCTGGTCGAGATGCCCGGCAAAGATGCCAGTCAAGCCGACGATGGTCATCGAGTTGAAGACGGCGGCGCGGCGACGATGTCGCCGACGCCCTCGTCCGACTCGGTCACGAGCGGGGCGAATCACCGTGAAGAACTCGGGCGCCGACGACCCGACCGCCATGAAGGGTGCGCCGGCGACGACCTCGGGCACCTCTTGAGCACCTCGACCTCATCGATCGCCTCGGCGTAGAAGTCGTCGCGGACGATGGCGATGCCGACGAAGAAGTAGAACCTGCGCGGGGGACGGTGCGTGGGCGGGCTGAAGGTGGGGTGAGGTGGGGTGATGGGGGGGGCTGAGGGGGCGGGGTTGGACGGCGGAGGAGGGCTTGGCGGTGGCGGCGACGGGGCTTGCGGGCTTGGCGGCGGCGGGCTTGGGGCGGCGGGCTTGGCGGCGGGGGCGATGGCGGTGGTGGAGACGGTGGAGGGGGTGAGGGAGCGGGCGGCGACGGGGGAGGCGGGCTCGGTGGGGGCGGCGACGGGGGAGGCGGGCTTGGCGGCGGCGGGCTTGGCGGTGGTGGCGACGGCGGTGGTGGGGGCGACGGAGGGGCCGGGCTGGGAGGCGGCGGCGACGGTGGAGGCGGGTTAGGAGGCGGGGGGGGGGGCTGGTGAAGCCCAGAGGGGGGAAGGCTTGGAAAACGAGATGGGGAGGTTGGGGGAAGCGAAGGGGGTGGGAGGGGTGTGGAATGGACGGGGGGTTGAAAGGCGATCGCCTGTGCCCGGGGGCAAAGATGCCAGTCAGGCCGACGATGGTCATCGAGTTGAAGACGGCGGCGCGGCGACGATGTCGCCGACGCCGTCGTCCGACTCGGTCACGAGCGGGGCGAATCACCGTGAAGAACGCGGCCGCCGACGACCCGACCGCCATGAAGGGTGCGCCGGCGATGTCGACGCTCGGGAGGCCGCGCGACTCGTGCGAAGCCGTGGTACGCGCCCCGCCAGGGAAGTGGGCTGTGTTTGCGTTTCTTTGTGGGGACGGGTTGGAAGGGTGGAGGCATCTAGATGGAGATGAAGAGCGAGGCGCACCTCAGACTCGGCACCTGATTGGACGGACAGTGTGTCCGATGAGCGGAGAAATTGAGGATGCGGCGGCGGCCGCATGGGCAATTCCGGCGCGGAGCGGGCGGCGCAGTCCCGGAGCCCTGGCGCGGGCGTGGCGCGGCAGGGCGCGGTGCGGGCGCGGTGGCGCGCAATCATGCTGGCCGGGGATCGCGCTGCGACGGAGTACAGGGGGAGGGCGGAGGCGCGGCTCGGGCGGTGGCGCGAGCCCCTGCACGCGTCGCGCGGGCGGGGAGGGAGAGGGAGGGGAGGGAGAGGGGGTGGCGGGGGGCGGGCTCAGCGGCGCGGGGCCCCGGCCCTCGCGTTGGGCGGCGGGCGCGGCAGGGCGTTGCACGCATATACCGTGGATCTCACTCGATCGGGGGGGGCGGTTTTGTGCGGGGGGGCGGTTTTGTCTCAAAGAGCGATCTGAGACGCTGTTCACAGCCTTGTTTTTCAGAAGAAAATACGTTTTGTGCGTTGGTCTGTGAGAGGTTGAGGTGCGAGCCCTGGAGGCCCTGGGGATTCACAGCACAAGCTTGTGCAGCGAAAAGCAGGCGTGCGGCAAGCGGAGCTCCCCACCGGCACGCGTGCGGGAGCGCCCCGACTCCGTCTGCCAGGTTGCGCTCGAAACGCGCAGCGAGGGAGACTCTCTCCCTCAGACAGCTGGACTGCGCCTTGGCCCCGAGGACGCGCGTAGACTATTATTAAAGCAAGCGGCGACTTGATCCTACCCACGGAACGTCGCCGCAAAGCATTTTATCTCCTGCGTTCGCGTTTGGGCGGCCATCGCAACACTCCCTAGCTCTGAAGGTCCCGGGCGCGGACAACAAGCTGGAGAACTTCCTCCTCACCGTGTTGAGCTGCAACGAGATGACAGCGGCTTTGCGAGTCAATGTGCTCTGGAAGTACATCTTCTCCGAGCCGGCGCGCTGGCTCACCGGCAAGGCCGGCGAGCTCGGCTGGGGGCTCGATGACTCGAGCGAGCTGCTCGACGCCATCTACGACATTATGCAGGCCGTCGCCGCGGACGGCCGCCGGCTGCTCGACCCGGCCTACGACCCCTTCGCCTCCTTCGCGGCCAAGTACCCGGAGTTCGCGGCGTGGCGCGCGGCGCACGCGAAGGAGGAGCTCAAGGCGGCGGACGGCACGTCCTACCCGATCCACGCGATGGTGCTGGCAGAGGCGCGCGAGCCGACGCGCGCGGGCAACATCCAATGCGAGGCACGCGTCATCACGCTCGCCGAGGAGATGGCCGAGGCGGCGCTGTTCGCGATGCGCGACCCGCGGCGCTCGATCTCGAGCATGCTGGTGTCGCAGGGGGGCAAGTTCGCCGTCGGCGCTGATCCGGGCCGCAACGCTGCGACGGCCGGCGCGCACGCGACCAACGACCGCGTCGAGTCGAACTTCGGCTGCCTCGACATCCTCATGCGGATGTGGCGGCACGCGACAGTTGTGACGGTGTCGGGGATGGCGCAGCAGATGCGGATGCACGACTTCGACCGGCCGCCCAACACCCTACACGACCGACGCAAGCGAAAGCACGCGGCGCCGGGCCACTGGACTCGGCCAAGGCGCTGCACGACGGGAAGCCGGTGCCGAACTACCCGCACGGCAGGCCTAAGCCGGAGGCGCAGCAGCTCGAGTACCTGCGCTACCAGATTGAGATGCGCGTGCTCGGCCTCGGCTGGAGCGAGTACGCGACTCGCTGGTCGTCCGCGGCCGACTCTAGGATCGGCACCGTCGCGCACCTGACCAAGCTGCTCGAGGAGCTCATCAAGGGGGAGACGGCGCGCAAGCGCTTTCCTGCGGACAGCGTATCGGGGCTGCCGACGGAGGCGGCGCCCCCGCAGCTGGCAGCGGGCGGCTCGACGCAGCTTGGCACTCTCGACGCCGACGCGGTGGAGGTGCGGTCTACGACACGATTCAACTCGGACGAGCTAAAGCGGAAGGCCGAGGCAGAGGTGGAGCGGCGCATTGCGGCGGGCATCTCCGATGATACGGAGTGGAGGCAGCCGGAGAAGGCTCCCGCCTTCGACTCGGCGCTTGTCGGCAAGCGGCTCGAGGTGTGCCGTCGTAGTCGTGTAGAGTAGTCCGGTCGGGACACACGCTCACACTGTGCCGCCGCGCCCTCAGGTACTCTGGAAGTACGCCGACAAGGACACGAACCAGCCGCACATGATCTGGTCGACGGGGCGCGTCGTCCGGGTCGCCGACGGGCTCTCTGACAGGAGGTCGAGGTCTTGCCGGCCGGCGCTGTGCTCTGGGCTTGGGACGCGGACCCGGAGTTCGACGAGGCAGCGGGCGAGCAATGGCTGTTCCTGCTGCCAAAGAAGTGGAACCCGAAGACGCACAAGCAGGTGTACAGCTGGCGGTATGACCCTCGCGAGCTCGGCGCCGTGGAGGCGCCCACGGCCGACCCTCGGCGCCGCCAGTGCCGCCGGGACACGGAGCAGTGAGAATTTTGAGTGTGTTTGTCGGGACGCTGTGTCAGTACTAGACCATGTTAGACTCTTAGTGATATACCATTGCAATCCCCAGCAGCTGTACTCCCAGCGCCAGTGTTCGTTTGTGCCCGAGGCGACTTTCTGAAAATCACCATATCCCGCCCCCCTACGCGACGGACTTTACTGGGCTGGGTTTTTCGTTGTGGGGTTGGCACTCCCATCGACCCTCATGACCTCCTGCGGTCTCTGAGATGGACACCAGTAGGTGTGGGACCATAGCCAGGGTACACTCGAAGGCTGGGTAAGCAGTAGAGGTCGATACTCGACGCGTCCCACATGGTCTGTGTCGCTGTCGGCACGCTGTCGACAGGACGTCGAGCGACACCGGTGGCAGTGCCACCCAGGAGTGGTCGGGCGGTCTCCCGTCATGAGAGAGCCACCATGTGATCCGTATGATGATTCCTGACAACCGCCTCAGTCAACTTTCGTCACAGTTCCCGCTCTGAGAGGAGCTGCGGGTCAGTTCGACAGCTGGAGCTGTGTCGCCGGCGTGCAGCGGCCTGCCTCCGGAGGTGCCTCTGAGGTGGACATTTTTTGGTCACCGCGAGAGAACGCGTTCGAATTTTTACTCCGGAACTTCAACTCTGCACGCGCACCGGCCAGGGCTACAATAGTGCCAGTGAGGCGGAGGCGCGAGTCGGAAGGCCGCGACCGTCAAGTGTTCCCTCCATTTACCTACAATCGCTGTGAACCCAGCCACGTAGAGACTACTCCTTGCTCTGTATGTCCCTACGGCATATTAAGATGCCGATAAATGCCTCAAGAGCCGAGTGGGGGCCGGAAAGCCCAACACTCCCACGCCAGGAAGCATCGCAACACAAAGAGCTACGTGAAACGTTTTCGCGCTGCGCTCTCCTTGGTTGGCTCCGACCACGCCACGGCGGGCGCTGTCGCCGGTCATGCATCGCGCACCTACAGCTCCGAGGGTGAGCCTGCTCGCGACCCCGACCTCCCGCCCCGGTCGCACACGCAGACGATGTCCAGGTCTGCGTAGCGCTCGCAGCGGTAGCCGAGCGGCGCAAGCAGGTCCTTCGCCGGGTCGCCCAGCTTTGCCCACGGGTGAGAGTCGGCAACCTTCCGACCGTTGGCCTTCGTGGGCACGTCCTCGTACGCCAACACGGGGCACTCGCGTCTCAGCGTCTGCATCAGCCCCATCAGCACGTGGTACTCGTACCCTTGCGTGTCCACCTTGATCAGGGCGACGCGCTCCGTGGACGGAATGATCGAGTCGAGCGGCACGATCGCGACCGTCTCGCGCGCGCGGCCGCCGTGCCTGAGGTTGCGCACCGCCTTGCGCGCCTCGTTGCCGAACCTCACGTTCTGGGAGAGGAGGCTGGACGAGTCGGCCGCGAGGTGCAGCTCGGCGAGGTGCGGCTTGCTACCAGCGCACAGGTGCACGAGCGTCGCGTTGGCGGCGATGTTGCCCAGCAGCTCGAAGTACGCGCTCGACAGGCACTCGAAGGCGATCACGCGGCGCCCAGCGTTGAGGGCCACGGTCGACTCGCAGCCGCCGTTCGCGCCAACATCGATGGCGACGCCCGGACGGTCGCGCGCGAGCTCCAGGAGGTGGCCCATGAGCGGACACTTGGCATCGGGTGTATACGGAAGCGCCGCCGCTTGGCGAAGGAGTGACAGAAGGAGCCCGAAGAGGAACAGCGGGCGTCCCGACGAGCTCGGCATCGCTGGTCGGCGCACGCCGTGGGCCGACGAGTCTGAGGAGGGGAGGGTGTCCGACTTGTAGCTGGCCTCACCCATATCTTACACTTCTTACCCTCTGCCCCCCCTCCTGCGACCCCCCAGGCTGATGGAGTAGTCACAGATAAGCCGGATGAAGATTCTGCCCCACACAGCCCCTTACCCCTTCACCCTCGCCTCGCTGCTTGGCCGGGCGAGTTATTTCTTTTTTTAGTGGCCATTCGGCACCCAGGGGCCTCCTCACCCATATCTTACCCTCTGCCCCCCCCTCCTGCGACCCCCCAGGCTAGATGTAGTCACAGATAGCCCCACACAGCCCCTTACCCCTTCACCCTCGCCTCGCTGCTTGGTGTTTCTGAACACGTAGACGACCACGCTGTGGGGGTTGTGTTATAGGAGTAGGAGTGGGGTGCAGGTTGTGCTCACCCACGGCACCGGGCCGGTGCTTGCACTTTGAATGCCGTGGGGCTCCTGCCCGTGTCCGGGCGTGGAGATGCGAGGGTCGCCCCCCCTTGCCCCACCACTTTGTGTGTGTGGAGACGTTTACCTTACCTTACCTTACCTTACTCTACCTTACCTTACGTCACAAAATCGTCGACACATGAGTCTCTTTTCATGCTTCAAGAAACACACCTCACCTGCAGCGCCCCTCCGTTGCCTTGCATCAGCTCACGAGCACGCACGTGGCGGATGAGCGCGTTGCGCAGAGCGGCCTCCCCGCTCTCACTGTGCTTACCGCGCCCGGTCACGACGACGCACCGCCCCTGCACAGGCAGCACAGGCACGACCAGCTCGTCGAACTCTTCCCGCACCTCGACGATGCGCAAGCCGTGGAGGTCAACACAGAGGTCCGACAGCCCCATGCCCAGCTCCTCGGCATTGAGGTGCGCAAAGATGCTGCTCGCCGCTGCATTCTCCTGCGCCGCTCGGAGCCGCTGCTGCAGCACCCACGCCGCGCCACGAATCTTCACCACGCGGGGGAGACTGCGCCCGGCCCGAGTCGCTCGTCGCGTTGGCTGAGGGCCGCCTGAAGCTTCTCCAGCTCCTCCAGCCCTCTGGAGCGCGACGACGGGTCGCCTCGCCTCGAGACAGATCTCCTGCTTGCGCGGCGATTCGAGGCCGCCACTCGCCCGCTCCGTCGCTGCATCCGCGTGCCGCGACAGCATCTCAAAGAGCTCCTCCTCGACAGCCGTCCGTCGAGTTGAGGCGGCGGTGCGCTAGCATCGTCGGCACGGCGTCAGCGAGGCCGGGCACGACGCGGACGAGGTGGCCTGCTTGACGCGCTCACGCGGCGCGCGCGCCATCCACTCGCAGCGGGAGAGCTCGCGCCGACATCAACGTGGCGGCCGATGGAAGCCGCGGAGTGCCAGGGATCGGGGAGTGGTCCTTGCGCGCGCCGCGAGAGGTCGGTCTGGCGTCCCTCGAAGAGCGGGGGGAGTCGCGGGAACATTGGACGGCCGGCGAGGAGCACGAGCGCCCGGCCCTGCGAGCGCCCGGCCCTGCGAGCGCCCGCGGCCGAGACGTGCGCTCTGCGGTCGCGCCGTGCCACTCTCGCCAAGCAGCGCGCGCGCCGCGCACCTCTCCCTCCCTCCCTCCCTCACGAATTGGCTTCATCTCTGCCGTTTCGGCTGAGCATCGTGCCGAGCGCCCGAGCCTGCTCGGGGTCGTCCGACAGCACAGCCTCGCGGAGGGCCGACCGGAGCGCGCTAACGTCGGAAGCGTTCGCCGCCGCCGGGCAGCTGCGAAGCTCCGCGCCGCCCGACTTGAGCAGCGCCTCCATCTGGTCCATGACTGCCTTCTCCTTGCGGCGGAGCATCTGCGCGCCCTTCTGCGTGTGCGCCTTCATCGACTGCAGCTTGAGCAGCTGCTCTCGGAGCTTGCCGTGCTCGGCGAGATTCTGTTTGACCCTGTCCTGCGCTTGCTCGATCGAGTCGAACTCGCAGCCCATCGCTTCCAGCCGTTCGGCGTGTCCACTCGCCTCGTCGCCGTCCGGCGCGATCGGCGCGGCGCCGCGCCGCGAGCGCCTTGAGCTCCCGCTCGCGTTCGCGCGGGCCGGCAGCGGCAGCGGCAGCGGCAGCGGCGGAGGCGGAGGCGGAGGCGCGTCCGAGCGCCCGGGCGGCGCGAGCTCCGCGGGCGGGTACAGCCGCTCAGGCGAACACATCGGAGGCTGGTCTCTGGTGACAAGACACACTGGCACAACGGCTCAAAAGAATTTTAAGGGCGCAGTCCGGGTTTTGCGAGACGGGTGTCGTCCCGCAAGATGGCATCACGCTCGCACCTGCCGACCGCCGCCACGGCGGCGAGACGCCTTCTCCGCCACCGCGGCGCCGGCCACAGGCCAGCGCTAGGCAGCTGCCGGCCACACTGGGCCGGATTTGCCGGCACTCGTCGCCGCACACTCCTACGTCCACGCCGCTGTGACGTCTGGCGACGAGGCGCCGGCCGCCAAGCTTCATCGCCAACGTGGTCGCTCGCTGGTCCTCTCGGCTCGGACACGCGTCGGCCCAGCTCACACGAGCTCCAGACAGCCACCAGTCGCCACGCGCAAAGCGTACGGGTCGCCGGCTCCCTGTTGTGCTCTCACGCTGGCCGGCGTAAAACTGTACTGGCAGTTGTCATGCCGTACCCGTCGCGTTTCGAAAGGGAGCCCTCAATCGACGCGTCTACACGCACCGTGCCACCGCTCTCCACAACTGCTACCGTGGACATCAAGCTCCTCGACTCGATCTGCGGCTACGACGGCGCTCTAGCTGCTGGCTCTCGCGGGTGTCTGGCGACCCGCTCAGGCTTGCGAAACGGCCGGCCGCGGCGACGTGTTTCGAGCTCGCTGGCCTTCTCCGCGCGGCTGGGCCCGCCCCTAGTCGGGGCCGACCCGCCCAGTCACTGGGCAGCGCGTGCGCCGTCATCCTGGACGACGGTGTGCTGGTGCATCCGGGAGGCTCCGCGGGGCTGCTCTAGGGCCTCTAGCAGCCTCGGGAGGGTCGAAAATCGAAGCCGGAGCGGCGGACCACGGAAGCTCCACGGACGGTGAGGCGGGCTGTGGTTGGCCCCCCCTGACCGGGTGAGGGAGTGGCGCCCCGGGAGTGCCGCTCCGGCGACGTCTGTGGCCTCCACGGTACCGTGACCGCGGTGCTCGCTCTCGCGGCCGTCTCACGACCCGCTCGAGACGAAAACCGGAGCGGACGGTGCGACGAACCGCGAGTGGGATGGTCTTCTCCGCGCGGCTGGGCCCGCCCCTAGTCGGGGCCGACCCGCCCAGTCACTGGGCAGCGCGTGCGCCGGCGTTCTGGACGACGGTGTGCTGGTGCATCCGGGAGGCTCCGCGGGGCTGCTCTAGCAGCCTCGGGAGGGTCGAAAATCGAAGCCGGAGCGGCGGACCACGGAAGCTCCACGGACGGTGAGGCGGGCTGTGGTTGGCCCCCCCTGACCGGGTGAGGGAGTGGCGCCCCGGGAGTGCCGCTCCGGCGACGTCTGTGGCCTCCACGGTACCGTGACCGCGCCGGCCTCGCTCGGGAGGCTCTTTCGGAGCCGTCGGCCTCCGAAACCGTCGCGTTGCTGCGCCTGGACGGCTTCGATGCTCGCCAAACCCGTCGGCACCGTTCATATACACATGAATTGTGAGTGAACGCTCATTTTAGCCCCCCGCTACCCGGTTGCACTCGTGCGACGTAGCGGGGGGCCACAACTACGTTTACGAAAACATAAGTAGTCCCGCGAGGTGTGAATTGGCCGCCCCAGTAGCCCCCATTTCCACTGGGGACGCTTTTCGTGGCAAACCCAAAGTTGCGCTGCGCGCGAAGCCGCTTTTGAAAGCGCGAAACCAATCTCGTCCTATACTCCGGCACGCCGAAAGTGGAGCTAAAAAGTCGTCCTTGACTTCTCAGCGCCCTGACGGCCCGCCGATGGCAGACCCGACTCCCTCCATCCGCATGGCGCCGCCCGATGGTGCCGGTAACCCTATTCCGGAGCGGTTTCTCCTAGGGTTAGCGCCGAAAAAGCCGGCTCCCTTAGCTCCGGCTAGGGCTAAGGGGCCTCCGAAGCCGACCCGAGGAAGGGCCGACTTAAGGGTTAGTATAGCGGGCCGATAAGGCTGCCCACACCCGCGAGGATGGCTGTGTGTTTGCCTCCCCGACTCGGACGGCCGCCTCAGAGGGCGGGAGTGCTTCCTATCGCCCTCTCACCCGCGGGTGATGGCCGAGTCCACGGAGCCGCACGCTGCCTCTCCTTCGACGCAAGGCTCCGACTTCTATAGAGAAAACCCCATCTGCACCAGCGTTTTAAAGTGAAATCGTCAAGAGAAATCGATGCCCCGGGCTGGGCTTTGGGGTAGGCAGCCACCTTTTTGAAGGTGAGGCGTATCTGCCGACCTGTGAAGACGCTTTACTTGCGAGCAGTGCGAGGACCAGATGGCGCGAGGGCACCGCAACATGGCTAAGGAGGCAGGGAAGCTTCTGCTCCAAGACGGCCGCTCAGGACCGCAAAATGGTGTTCCTGAAGGTTGTGTCAGTCGGGCTGGCCAGTCCCCGGGGCCTGACGGTCCAATGTTTCCCTCAAGAGTACTTCTCCCCTACCCCACCCTTCCACTTTAGATGTGTCGGACCATACCTCCCACCGGCCCCACCGGCTTTTCGTCGCCCATGCTCGGTCTCGACTTGAGTGCCGCTCGACTGGCCGATGAAGAGCGACCCGTAGCTACGACGCGCACTTGTCGTCCTCCCTCCTCGCCACATGACGGCCGCCCCCCGACACCAACAGTCGCGCTCCGCACGCCTTCGAGGTCAGCTGCGGCCGAGCGACGATCGGCTCGTCTCCGATCGCTGGGCGCGTTTACTCTCCGCCGTCACCCGCCTGCCGATCTCCTGTCCGCCTCGCCGCGCGCGGGCCGCTCGCCTGCTCGCCACCGCCGCCGCGCGTCCCCGCGCCGCCACGCTTCCCTGCACCTGACGGCGCTCGAGCTGCGCAGACGGCGCGCTCTGGCAGAGCAGCGGCCGCCCAGGCGGTCGCTGCTCCGCCCCGTCCGAATCCGTCCGCCCGCGCGTGCTGCTGCCGCCGCCGCCGCCGCTCCACCCGGTGCCCGTGTGTGTGTCGTGAGAGTTGCTTTGTGTATGTGTATTACATCGAACATCGTATGTGTGTGGACTTTTATATGTCACACTTGAGCCTCTATCTATGATTAGTAGACCGGTGCTCGGGTTTGGATGGTAGCGGGGGGCCCCGCCGGAGGCTGGTTACTGATTCTGATAGCTTACTGAAATGTTCCCGGATTCTAGTTTCGATCTAGTCCTCACGGACACAAAACTTAGGCCTCCTAGCACGGAGAAGCGACTAAGAGTCGCCGATATGCGAGTAAGCTATCAGAAAAATACGCCCGGAATCACAATTGATCCCGTCGACAAGGCGCCCCAATCGCGGAGAACTGGCGCGTGGAGGCGAGCATCGACGCCTCGACGGTTGCTCTTCAGAGGTCGTAAACAGGCGCCTGGAAAAGGAGAGAACGCGAGACTGATCACGCGCGCGGAAAAGCCCGAGGGGCGAATCTAAAGTGCCGAGGCGCTTGCTAATCACCCCAGCTAGGGCCACGGAGGCGCTCGCGGCAGGTCTCCGCGCGCGCGCTGGCCGGTGGCAGCTGATCTCGGGCGGCGGGCGGCGGGAATGGGCTCGGGCGGCACCTTTTGCCCTCAAAAGTCGTTCGAGAGTACCGGGTCGCGGCGGGAACGCGCCCATCCGCTCGATGGGTGTCAGGAGTCGATCGCCTGCGCCAGGAGCGAGCACGGGAGTCGTCGCGATGGGAGTCGTAGCGGCGTGGCGCTCGGCTTCGAGAGAGCGACGTGGGCGCGGCGGCGCGGGCGGCCGGTGGGGCGCGTGAGGTCCGCACCTTCGCGACGGGCAGGCTCGATACGGCCGCTGGCCGGGGCGGCCGCTCGACCGGCCGCCGCGGTCGTTCCGGCGGCGGCGTCGGCGTCGGCGTCGCGAGCGAACTGGCTCGCATTCGACGAGCGACCCTCTTCACAGCCTTGTTATTGAGAAGTACTATCACCGGCACACCGGCACACCAAGCTCGCGCCAGTTCGCACCTGTGTCGAGCCTGTCTGCTGTGAGAGAGAGTTCTTTTGTTTAAATTCTGTCCAATCGCGTGTCCAAGGTAATAAGCTAGTACTATCACACCTTCACAGCCTTGTTATCACCAAGCTAGTACTATCACCGGCACACCACCGGAGCCGCCTAAGCGACTCCGTTAAGAACGGCAATGCACTTAGCTCCGTGCACAATGCCGCTGTCCCCGCACGCTAGCTCGTTCACCGTCTGCCACGCCACGGCGGTGTGGAGGACGACAGACAAGCGCTGCATCTGCAGCCCGTGCCAGTTCTTGGTGGTCCATGTGACCTCATCGAGGTGCTGAGCGTGCGAAAGTTTGTTACTCAGCTGGTCCGCCGCCTGCCGAAGAATTCTGCGGACGCCGTCCCCGAAGCCGCCGAACGTCTCGAAGTCGAGCAAACGCATGTAGTGCTGCCGGAAAATGCTGAAGAGAGAGTGGTTTCGAGCAGCCCTCGAAGCAAATCGTGGATATGACATGGCTGATGGGCAACTCTTAGCATTCTTGGTTGCTACACATGGATCACACGGATCGTGGTCCGCGATTTTCACGTCGGTAAAAGAGCCGGTGCTGCCTGTTCCCCCCTTCCACCATCTGTGCTCGAAGCTTGAAGGCGCCGTTGGCGTCGGACTGGAAACGCAACCGTTAGCAGCAACCAAGCAAGGCAGCAGTAGTAGACAAAGGCCAGAGCGCAGTCCTGACATGTTGAAGTATTCTGCACAGCACGTCGCCCCCTTTCCGCTCGCCGCGGTCGGCCAGGAGGCGCCGCAGGCGATGGCGAGGAGGATAGGCCTTCGAGCAGGTACGCGCACACGGTACGCCGACCTCGTACTGCGAGGGAAGCGGCAGCGACCGAGGAGGCGATGGTGAAGTGGGCTGCCGGCATGCCGGAGATGGCGACGCGGGCCTGCGCGAGGGCGAGGAGAAGGGTGGAGGCAGGCGGGAAGGCGGGCGGGCGGAGGGGAGGGGACGATCTGGAGGGGGGAAAGGGGGGGGTGGGGGGAGGGAGGGGCGAGGGCGCCGCGGCCGGCACCTCCTCCGGACACGGCCCGCCGCCCTTCATGAGAGCTGAGAGCCCGTCATCGATGCGGGGACGAGCCCGAAGAGCGCCGCGTAGGGCTTCTCGCGCACACATGGCCGGGTCCAACGCCGGGTCGACTGGAGCGGCGATGACGGCGGTCGGGTCGATGTCGAGGACGGGCCGAGACGTGACAGTGACAGCGCGAACGCCCTGTGCCGCCGGGGAGCCGGTGCGTCATTGAAGTGCTTGAATGGGAGGCACCCACGGGGCGGTAACGCAGCGGCGCACCGCACTCTCGTCCGCGATGTCCGTGTAGCACTCGGTGGTCGCCTGCGACAAGCCGCCGCGGTGCGGTTGTAGGCCTTCGAGCAGGTACGCGCACACGGTACGCCGACCTCGTACTGCGAGGGAAGCGGCAGCGACCGAGGAGGCGATGGTGAAGTGGGCTGCCGGCATGCCGGAGATGGCGACGCGGGCCTGCGCGAGGGCGAGGAGAAGGGTGGAGGCAGGCGGGAAGGCGGGCGGGCGGAGGGGGGGGGACGATCTGTAGGGGGAAAGGGGGGGGGAGGGAGGGAGGGGCGAGGGCGCTGCGGCCGGCACCTTCTCCGGACACGGCCCGCCGCCCTTCATGAGAGCTGAGAGCCCGTCCTCGATGCGGGGACGAGCCCGAAGAGCGCCGCGTAGGGCTTCTCGCGCACACATGGCCGGGTCGAACGCTGGGTCGACTCGAGCGGCGATGACGGCGGTCGGGTCGATGTCGAGGACGGGCCGAGACGTGACAGTGACAGCGCGAACGCCCTGTGCCGCCGGGGAGCCGGTGCGTCATTCAAGTGCTTGAATGGGAGGCACCCACGGGGCGGTAACGCAGCGGCGCACCGCACTCTCGTCCGCGATGTCCGTGTAGCACTCGGTGGTCGCCTGCGACAAGCCGCCGCGGTGCGGTTGTA